CCCCAATTGCAAGCATTGTTTGGGGGAGGCGGAAGATGATGCTCCTGATGCTGCTGCTGATGGTGAAGAGGATAACGATGATGATTATGATGATGAGGGTAATGATGATGATGATGATGATGATGATGATGGGGATGATGGTGATGATGCTGATGGTGACGATGATGATGGCGATGGCGATGACGATGACGCTGATGATGATGGTGGTGGTGGTGATGATGATGTTGATTAGCAGTAGTATGACGATATTGATTGGGGATGATGATGATGAGTATGTGGATGACGATGACGATGACGATCATGATGATGATGCTGATGGTGACAATGTGGATTGTGATTGTGGTAATGGTTTCGATGGTTCTAATGATGATCCTGATGATGATAGTGAGATGATGATGATGCAGGTGGTGATGATGACGATGATGATGACGATAACGATGAGGATTATGATGCTGATGATGCTGATGATGCTGATGATGATGCTGCTGCTGATGATGATGGTGAAATGGTGATGATGAAGATGATGACGATTATGATGATGATGACGATACTGATGATGATGCTGCCGATGATGATGAGTATGATTTTGATGACGATGATGCTGATGATGATGATGAGGATGCTGATGCTGATGATTGTATTGATGATGATAATGATGCTGCTGATGATGATCATGCTGATGATGATGCTGATGCTGATGCTGCTGATGATGCTGCTGCTGATGATGGTGAGGATGATGATCATGATGCTGACGCTGATGCTGCATCTGCTGCTCATGATGATAATGATCATGATGACGATGACGATGATGATGATGATGATGATGATGATGATGATGAGGATGATGCTGCTGCTGATGCTGATGCTGCTGCTGCTGATGATGATGACGATGGTGGTGATGATGATGATAGGGATGAGGATGAGGATGATGATGATGATAATGATGATGATGATGATGATGATGATGATGATGACGATGATGATGATGATGCTGATGATGATGATGATTATGATAATGATTGTGATGAATGATGATGATGATGATGATGATGATGATGATGATGATGCTGATGATGATGATGATGATGATGATGGTGGTGGTGGTGATGATGATGATGATGATGATGATGGTGGTGGTGGTGGTGGTGGTGGTGATGATGATGATGATGATGATGATGATGATGATGATGATGATGATGATGATGTAAAGCTGAAGCTTTCGGACGCTGATGCTGGGAGAGGAGCATCATCGGAGGCCACACCTTGCCAAGCACGTCCCCCGCAACGTGGGGCGGGGTGCCAATGGGTCAGGAGACCAATGCAGGGGATGGCTCGAAGGTCAGGCTAGGCCCCCACGGGCCTGACCCGACTCCCACGACGTATCGTCCGTCTGGTGGCTGAAGGTCGATTCGCGCCCCTGCAGATCGACAGCGATGCTCTCGCAGCCGAAATCCTGCCGGGGGGCCAGAAGAGGGCGCTCGCTGCGATCTCGGTCCCGGCCGCGCCGTCGGCGCGCCCCTCCTGGTAATTCGCTCGAAGGTGCGTACCCTCATGCCCCCATTCCACGAGTCCCCATCCACAGCAGACGAGCACAGTCGGACCCAGGTTTGAGATCGAGGTCTGTTCGGGGAGGGTACCCTAGTGCTCTTCGTGTTTGTTGGGTGTTCTTGTGCATCTTGGGGAGGGTCCCCTTTGATGTTCTGTTTGTTTTGGCCGATGGAGGGCCTCATGTTCTTGAGGGATGTTCTTATGGCCTAGGTTCGACTGTAGCGTCTCGGCTGTCGACGGAATGCCGCACTGGCCAGGGCGCCTCCTGGCTCGACCAGTGCACGGGCCTGCCAGGCGGCCCCAGCGCGGGCACCCAGGTAGCCTGCCAGCACGCACCCCGCGCAGGCGTTTCGAGTCGCAGCTACGGCCGAGTGCCTGGGCAAGCACCTGCGCAGGTCCCCCTTGGTTGCGAGCACCGACTCTGGGGGGGAGGGGGCGGCAATGGCGCCTGGCAGATCCCTCAAACTTGGGACGCCCAGCCCGCCCAACTGCCACGTTTGGTGTTGCGGCAGGGATGGGTTGCCTATAAGGAAAAGGGATGGAGGAGGAGGAGGAGGAGGAGGAGGAGAAGCAGGAGGAGCAGGAGGAGGAGGAACAGCAGGAAGAGGAGGAGGAGGAGGAGGAGGAGGAGGAGGAGGAGGAGGAGAACGAGGAAAGGTAGGAGGAGGAGGAGGAGGAGGAGGAGGAGGAGGAGGAGGAGGAGGAGGAGGAGGAGGAGGAGGAGGAGTAGGAGGGGGAGGAGGAGGGGGGAGGAGAGAGGAGTAAGGATGTGGGTGGGGTGGGAGGACGACTGATGAGGAGGCGGAGGAGGAGACGGAGGAGGAGGAGAAGAATGAGGAGGAGGAGGATTAGGAAGAGGATGATGATGAGGAGGAGGAGCAGCAGTAGTATGAGCAGGAACATTAGGGTAAGGATGATGATGATGATGATGACGATGATGATGATGATGATGCTGCTGATGATGATGATGACGATGCTGATGATGATGATGATGCTGATGATGATGAGGTTGATTATGTTGACGATGATGGTGCTGATGATGATGCTGCCGATGATACTGCCGATTCGGATGATGCATATTATGACGATGATGCTGATGATGTTGAGGATGATGCTGATGCTGATGATGCTGATGATGCTGAGAATGATGATGATGTTGATGATGATGCTGATGATGATGCTGATGACGATGGCAATGCTGCTGCTGATGATGATGCTGATGATGCTGATGCTAATGATGCCGATGCTGATGCTGCTGCTGCTGATGATGATGATGAGGATCATGATGATGATGATGACGATGATGATGATGATGATGATGATGATGATGATGATGATGATAATGATGATGATGATTATGATGATGATGATGCTGATATGATGATGAGGATGATGATGATGCTGACGATGATGATGTTGCTGCTGTTGATGATGCTACTGATGATCCTGATGATTGTGATGATGACGCTGATGATGCTGATGCTGCTGATGATGATGGTGATGCTGATGCTGCTGCTGATGATGATGCTGCTGACCATGATGACGCTGCTGCTGCTGCTGCTGCTGCTGATGATGATGATGGTGATGCTGATGATGATGATGATGATGATGATGATAATGGTGGATGAAACCGATGATGCTGATGTTGACGCTGTTCATGCTGATGCTGGTGCTGATGATGATGATGATGCTGATGCTGATGCTATTGCTGCTGATGATGATGCTGACGATGCTGCTGCTGATTATGATGATGCTGACGATGCTGCTGCTGATGATGATGATGCTGCTGAGGACGATGCTCATGATGGTGATGTATGAGGATGCTGACGATGATGAGGATGCCGATGATGCGGATGATGAGGATGCTGCTGATGCTGATGATGTTGATGCTGATGATGCTGATTTTGCGGATGCTGCTGATGATACTGCTGATGATGATGATGCTAATGCTGATGCTGATGACGATGCTGATGATCATGATGACGATGATGATGATGCTGCTGTTGACGATGATTATGATGATGTTGATGAGGCTGCTGCTGCTGCTGCTGATGATGATGATGATGTTGTTGTTGTTGTTGTCGTTGTTGTTGTTGTTGTTGCTGTTGTTGTTGTTGTGGTTGTTGTTGTTTTTGTTGTGATTGTTGTTGTTGTTGTTGTTGTTGTTGTTGTTGTTGTTGTTGTTGTTGTTGTTGTTGTTGTTGTTGTTGTTGTTGTTGTTGTTGTTGTTGTTGTTGTTGTTGTTGTTTGTTGTTGTTGTTGTTGTTGTTGTTGTTGTTGTTGTTGTTGTTGTTGTTGTTGTTGTTGTTGTTGTTGTTGTTGTTGTTGTTGTTGTTGTTGTTGTTGTTGTTGTTGTTGTTGTTGCCGTTGTTGTTGTTGTTGATGATGATGATGATGATGATGATGAGGATGCTGATGCTGATTCTGATGCGGATGCTGATGCTGATGCTGATACTGATGCTGATGCTGATGCTGATGCTGCTGATGGGGCAAGGTGTTTCAGGATGGTGGTACGGGGGGGGGGGGGCATAAGCGTGGTGCGGGTGACATTGTGTGGGCTGGGAGCGAGCTTAGCCTCGTCGTCCTCATCGTCATCCACGTCCGTGCCCTCGCCCTCGTTTCTCCTCTCCTTTGCGTCCTCCTCATTCTCCTCTTCGTCCTCCACCTCGTCCTGCTCCCTGTGCTCCGCCGTGCCCTCTTCGCCGTGCTCCTCTCCGTCGCCATCCTCCTTGACCTCCGCGCTCAAAGCGAGCCAGGCTCGCGGCAGGCCCATATGCACGGCGCGCCCCCCCCCCGTCCCGCGAATGCGCAGGGGGGGCGCCCGCAGGAGGCCCCTCAGAAGGCTTCTGGAGGCCCGAGGGGAGCCGATCGGGACGGAATGACGCTGGAAGGCTACGATCTGCGAGGGTCGGCCCCCCTCCGCCTGCTCTTCTCCCCCTCCTCCTGAGGAGGACGAGGAGGAGGAGGAGGAGGAGAAGGAGGAAGACTGCTCCTCGTCGTCCTCGTCGTCGTTGCCCTCCGTCCTCCTCCTCCTGCTCTCCGCCTGCTCCTCCTGCCCGCTCCCCTTGCAGCTGCTGCTGCTGCTGCTGCTGCTCCGCCTCCTCCGTCTCCTCCGTCTCGTCCCCTTCCTCATTCTGCCCATCCGCCTCCTCCTGCTCCACCCCCCTCCTGCTCCCCCCCCTCCTGCTCCCCAAGGGTTGGACCTGCACGTTGCGTGGGCGACTTCGTAGGCTGCTCTTTTTTCGATTCCTTTTCGCAGCAGAGGCGGACTGACGACAAAACGAGGGACACACGAAGCCAACACGAAAGCCAGTGAACGCGAAACCAATACGAATATACAACGAGAGAACACGAAACAAGCACTAACCCAATTCGAAGCCAGGACGATACCAGCACGGCGATAACCGAGGGACAACTTAGGTCGAGCCCTGCTGCTCCCGGGCGGCGCGCAGGCGCAGCTGGAGAGGGCCCTCGAAGCCGAGTCCCGCATGCCCTCGGCGCCGCCGCCTCTGGAGGGGCCTCTGGGGGGCGCCGCCGCTGCCGCCGAGCGCGGAAGAGGAGGAGGAGGAGGAGGAGGACGACGACGACGACGATCACGAAGGCGACGACGACGACGATCACGAAGGCGACGACGACGACGACGAGTGCCTTGCCACAAGCTCGGAACACGGGGCGGGAGGGGGGAGGTAAGATGAGTAGGAGGAGGAGGAGGAGTAGGAGGAGGAGGAGGAGGAAGAGGAGGAGGAGGAGGAGGAGGAGGAGGAGGAGGGGGAGGAGGAGGAGGAGGAGGAGGAGGAGAAGGAGGAGGAGGATCGCACGCCACTGAGGAGAAGAGAGAAACATAACGAGGCTAGACGGTTCGAGAACAACGCCCGGGGGGTGCCCATCGGAGGAGAACTTTTTGCCACCCTGGCAAGCCGCAGCGCCTGCCAGGGTCCAACGACAGGGCCCTCCCTTTTGGGCCACTCAACCAGCTAACTCGTCCCCGTATCGCGCGGCAACGGTACCAGTATAAACTTAAGAGTCAGCAGCGATGTTGTAATATACCATCCCCCTAAGGTCTTTCTTTATAGGCCCCTACAAGGGTTCAGTTGCACTGGGGGAACTGCTTCGTTGGAAGACACCCGTTTGAAGACCCTGAAGCATGCCACATCATCGTTCTTTGGATTCCATCGCCGCAGATCAACCATATTGTTGTGTCGTGACGCTCCTGAATCGTGCCAGAACGCCGTTCCAGGGACGTGAACAACGCGACTCAACGTAATTGTTGCGCCCTCATAATCATGAGTCCTTCCACAGCACCATTTCTGGCACGCTGATCATGGGACTCCGTCGAACTCTTGCAACTTTAAAGAACGAATGTGCGCGGCGCTAAGGCGAGAGCCACTTTTTAACATGAGCCGCCCTCAATCCGTGAAGCTCTTGCAACTTTTGAAAACGAATGTGCGCGGCGCTAAGGCCAGAGCCACGTTTTGAAAACCTACCGCCCTCAATCCGTGAAGTTCGTGTAAATTTTAAAACGAATGTGCCGGGCGCTGGGGCGAGAAGCGCATTTCGAAAACGGGTCGCCCTTAGTACGTGAAGCTCTTGCAAATTTCTAAACGAATGTGCGCGGCGCTGGGGCGAGAGCCGCATTTCGAAAACGATTCGCCCTCCATTTGTGAAACTGTTGCCATTTTTCCTTCAGGAGCATTAATGGTAAGGAAATCCCAGGCGAAACGCCCGGCCCGACCTAAGAATTGGCCTCGGGGCTTCACAGGGGGAAGTTATATACTAGGCAAAGGAATGGAGGAGGAATGGAGGAGGAGGGGGAGAAGCAGGAGGAGGAGGAGGAGGACAAGGAGGAGGAGGAGGAGGAGGAGGAGGGCTTCGGGCACACGCGTGCGCGACCCGCTTGGCCTCTGCCCAAGGCGAAAGGTATGAACGGACGCTGCCGACTTATGCCCCCCAGACGTTTCCACTGCTTGTTTTGCGTGTGTCGTAGAAGCAAGGTATCGTCTTGATGATGAGCGTCCTGGCACGCTGGTGTGGCAGAGCGATCATACACATGGAACGGTGGCCCTCCGCACGTGAATCCAGTCATCTTTCGTCGCAGGACCATCATCATCACTCTCATCACCATAATGATGAGTGTCATGAGACGCTGGTGTGGCACGCTGGTGTCATGGCAGGCTGGCCTTCCGCTTGTATTTTCTTGTGTATCATAGGAGGACCATCGTCACGATGATGGTTGCCATGGTGCGCTGGTCTGGCACACCGATCTCATGACACTCTGGGCTGCCGATGGTATACACCCTGAGGTCTTCATTCAGCACCGATCACAAGGATTGTGTGAGACCGTTGGGCCCCCTTAGGGCCCGCTTAACGGGAAACCATTCTGAGGGCGATTTCGTGGACATCTCCTTTTCGGTGCCGCAGTGAGAACATGTTGCGTTTCGTGGTTCGAGCAGCACTTCGCCTGAACTACAAGCGCCGTCTTTCCCCACCAAGCGCGCGACTCCTTTCGCCTCTGCCCAAAGCAAAAGGTATCAATGCACACTGGCGACTCGTGCGCCCCAGACCCAACGATTGCACGTGATGCATGTGTCGTCGTTGCAGGGACATTATCATGATTATGAATGCAATGACGCGCTGGTCTGGCAGAGCGATGGGTACACATGGGACACTGGCCGTCCGCATGTGCATCCACGAATGCGTTGTCGCAGGACCATCCTCATGATGATGGTTGTCCGGACGCGCTGGTGTGGCCCACCGATGTCATGATACGTTGGTGCGCCTGGTACGCCAATGATGTGCGCCTAGGCGTCCTCATCCAGCACTGGCCCATGGAAATTTGGCCCTCCGCATGTGTATTGGGTCGTGCATCATCGCAGGACTTTCGCCTTGATGGTGGATGTCATGACGCGCTGGTGTGGCACCGTTCGGCCCCTTGGGGACGCCTCAGAGAGGAAAGCCGTTCCAGGGGACATTTCGTGGTCAGCCCGCCTCCATTGCTAACGCTAGGAAACATTGCGTTTCGTGGGTCGAACGATACTTCGACACAGCTCCGCGCCCTGATTTGCCCCGCCGTTTTTTTTTTTGGAGTTACCCAACCTGCTCTGCGGAGGGAGTCACCCATTTGGCTGCGTGGCCCATGGGTTCCACTGCTCTGCTCCAACCAGCGGCACGCATGCCTTTCCATGCCACGAAACATGGTGTTTCCAGCGGTCCGCATGTTATCTTAAGCAAGGCACACACATGCATCAACGTCCGCACTCCTCTTTGTTTCTATGTTTCTTTCTCTGCAAGAGCAACACAGGTCGCGCATGCGTGCGCCCGGTGCAGGATGAGGACGAGGATGAGGAAGAGGAGGAGGAGGCGGAAGACGACGAATACGAACCATCAAACGAACAACCAGCACGTACGAAAAATAAGCATAAACATAGTAACACCATTGCAAAGAGTTTGCGAACGAATGCTAAGAAGAAAACGAAACAGGATAACGCTAATAATACGAAGACGCAGCATACCAATACGAATCAAAATCAAATGATAATTTGACGATGCTGATGCTGATGATGATGGCAATGATTATGACAATACGAATCATAATGATGATCATCATCGTATTATTTATCATAAACGTACCAACAACACTAGGAGGGGGAGGAAAAAGGAACAGGATGAGGAGGACGTATTTCGACGCCACGGATCAATGTGTCTGTTGCTTGCGTCGCGACATCTCTCAACCATACCAGGACTCCGTTCAAGGGACTTCAGCTCCGCGAATCAACGTGGCTGCTGCGTCCGTACAATGTTAAACCGTGCCAGATTTCAATTCCTGGAACTGCATCCTTACGAATCCCTGACACTGGTGCAACATGTTAGGATGAATGCGCGCGGTGCCAAGACGAGATCCCCTTTTTGAAGAAAGACCCGCCCGCCATCCTTACAATTGTTGCAGACCAATGTAAACGATTCGCCCTCACTTCGTGAAGCTGTTGCAAAGTTTCGAAGTCGAATGTGCGCGGCGCTAATGCGAGAGCCACATTAGGAAAACCACCCGACCCCCCGTTCCGGATTGTGTTATACAACATTTGAAGACCAATGCGCGCGGCGCTTCGGCGAGAACCACTTTGAAAACTACCTGCCCTCCATCCTTGAAACTGTTGCAGAGTTCAAGCCTCAGTTTCAGAAGTGGCGAGGCAGTCTCAGGGGGGGAAACAGAACGGCCCAGACCGCCCTACCGACAAGTCTGGCGCTGCGACAGGGATGATCTATGTATAAGGAAAAGGGGTGGGAAAGAGGACGAGGAGGAGTAGTAGGAGGAGGACAAGGAGTATGAGGACGAGGAGGAAGACCCGTGTAAACCCAAGCCGCATCAACAACGTTGCAATCCATTCTTCCCCAACGTTCCTTCTTCATTGGTCTCAATTTCATGTTCAATGCGGGAAGTGGCCGATTAGAAGTTTCCCATCTGAGAATCTTCAATCGTGCCAAAACATTATTCCTGGGACTTCAGCGCCGCGCATCAGCGTGACCCTGGCGTTCTGTAATCTTATTTCGTGCCAGAACAGAACGCCTGGGAGTCAGACCGTACGCATCCTCGAAGCTGTTGCGAATTGTTAGCCCGAATCTGCGCGGCGCTAAGGCCAGAGCCTGATTTGAAAAAGTACCCGCCTTCCATCATTAAAACCTGCTGCAACGCTTTACGACGACTGTCCAGGCCCCCTAGGCTCGAGCCACGTTTTGAAAACCAGTCGCCCTCCATTCCTGAAGCCGTCGCGAACTTGATGCCGAATGTGCGCGGCGCCAATGCGAGAGCCACATTTGGAAAACCACCCGCCCCCCATTCTTGATCATTTTACAATTTTTAAGACTTATGTGCGCAGAGCTTCGCCGAAAGCCACACTTTCAAAACCACCTGCCCTCCATCCGTGAAGTTGTTGCGAAGTTTCAGCTTCAGTATCATTAGTGGCGAGGAAGTCTCAGGCGAACCGCCCGGCCCGCCCTACCGACAAGCCTGGCGCTGCGACAGGAATGATTTATTGATAAGGACAAGGAATTGGCGATGAGGAGGAGGAGCAGGAGGAGGAGAAGGAGGAAGAGGAGAAGGAGGAGGAGGAAGAGGATGAGGAGGAGGAGGAAGAGGAGGAGGAGGAGGAGGAGGAGGAGGAGGAGTATGAGCAACGGAGGAGGAGGAGGAGGAGGAGGAGGAGGAGGAGGAGAAGGAGGAGGAGGAGGAGCAGGAGCAGGAGCAGGAGGAGGAGCAACGAAGGAGGAGGACGAGGAAAAGGAGGAGGAGGATGAGGAAGAGGACCAGTGTAAACCCAAGGGTCATCAACGATGCTGGAATAAACCCTCCCTCCACGCTTCCTCTTCATAGGCCCCATACAACGATTTATTTCCGCTGAGGGAACTGCCTCGTTGGAAGACAACCGTTTGACGGCCCTGAAGCATGCCAAAACACTGTTCTCGGGATTCTAACGCCACATATCAACCTGACTGTTGCGTCTTCACGGTCCTGAATCTTGCCAGAATGCCATTCCTGGGACTTCAACGCTGCGGATCAACGTGACCGTTGCGCCCTCGTAATCATGAGTCTTTCCAGAACACCATCTCTGGTACGTTGATCATGGGAATCCGTGGAACTCCTGCACATGTTGATAACGAGTATGCGCGGCGCTAAGGCGAGAGCCACCTTTTGAAAAGGAACCGCCCTCAATCTGTGAAACCCTTGCAAGTTGTTCGAACGAATGTGCGCGGTGCTGAGGCGAGAGCCACGTTTTGAAAACGACCCGCCCTCAATATGTGAAGCTCTTGCAGCATGTTAGCACGAATGTGCGAGGTGCTAAGGCGAGAGCCACATATTGAAAATGACCCGCCCTCAATCCGTGAAGCTCTTGCAAATGCAAATTTCTCAAACACATGTACGCGGCGATGAGGCGAGAGCCACATTCTGAAAAGCGCCCGCCCTCAATCCGTGACGCTCTGGTAAATTGTTCAGACGAATGTGCGCGGCGCTGAGGCGAGAGCCACTTTTTTTGTAAACGACCCGCCCTCCATCTGTGAAACTGTTGTCAAGTTTAAAGCTCCAGGGTCCCAAACGGTGCGGAAGTTGCAGGCGAAACGCCCAGCCCGCCTTAAAAACTTGCCTTGGGGTGCGACAGGGAGAAATTGTTTAGAAGGACAAGGGATGGGGGAGGAGGAGGAGGAGGAGGAGGAGGAGGAGGAGGAGCAGAGGAGGAGGAGGAGGAGGAGGAGGAGGAGGAGGAGGAGGAGGAGGAGGACTGCTTCGGGTATGCAGTGGCCGAAGCGGTGGAGTCGCCACCTGCTGTTGCCCGAGGCAGGGCGCCCGAGCCTGCCTCAAAAGAAGGCTGGGCCTGGGACGGAGCGGCAGACTAGGGCCGACTTTGTGCGGGCAGCTCCCGTAGCGCCGCCTGGTTCGCCGAGGCTGCAGGCGGCAGGGGGCTGGAGGAGGGTCACGCGTTGGGCACGCGTTGGGCACGCGTTGGGGGGCGTTGGGGCCTCCTTCTGCACCGTCCCAGGCTCTTCCCCCGACGACTCCGACTCTGTCTCCTCCACCTCCGTTTCCTACGGCGTCTCAGTTTTGGCCTTTGTCTCTAACTCTGAGTCTGTCTCTGAGGACTCCGATGTTTCGCCTCCTGTGGCTCCGATTCCGATGACTCAGATGGCTTCTACGACCCCGGCGTCGACTCCTATGGCGATGCCGGCGACTTCAATGACGTCTCCGACGACGACTCCGGCTCCGACCACGACGCTGACGACGTCTCTCCGACGACGGCGACGACGAGGACGACTCCGATTCCGACTCCGACGACTCCGACTCCGACCCCGGCGACGACGCCGACGACGTCCCTCGGGGTCGTGGCCTGTCGGCTCGGGCCGCGCCGCCGCCCAGAGTCCGCGCGCCCCAGCGGGCGCGCCGCGGCGGGCCCGATGCCGGCGGCGCAAGACGCGCCGTGGCCGGGGCCGCCCGTCGGCGCCGCCGCTCCAGAGGCGCCGAGCCTCGGCTGCGTCTGGAGGTGCCCGGCCGTGGGGTCGCGGGAGCCTGCGGCGCAGGGCGCGCCGGCGGCGGTGCGGGTGCGCCTGGAGGCGCCCAGCCGCACCTGGCGCGTGGGCGAGGCCGTGGAGCTGCGGGTGCAGGTGGAGAACGGCTCTGGCAGGCTCCTCCTCCTCCTCTTCCGCGTCCTCCTCCTCCTCCTCCTCGCCGGCAGGCCGGTGTTTGCCCGTCTGGGCGCCTACAGCGACGGCACCGACGACGGCGCCGTCGTCGCCGCGGCCGGCCTCCGGAGCCGCGCGGCAGGCGCGCTCGGCGAGGAGGCGCCGTGGTCGGCGGCGCGCGTGCTGCAGCCCCGCGCGCTGCCGCGCGAGCGCGAGGCGGCGCTGCGGGAGCGGGCGCTCTATCTGCCCGCGGGCCGCTCCGCGGTCTTCGAGCTCCGCGGCCGCGCAGTGGCCGCCCACGGCATCGGCCACGCGCTGCGCCTCGGCGGCGGCCACGGAGGGGCCGAGGTGCTGCTGCCGCTCCCGTCGCCCGGCGGCGGCTCGGCCGGCGGCGGGCCGGCGCAGGCGATCCGCGTGGAGCTTGGAGGCCCGGGCGGGGACCTGCCCGGCGGCGCCTCCACGCCGCGGTCCGGGCGCTGGCGCACTAGCGGCTCTCAGAGGAGGAAAAGCTGCCCATGCCGCTACGCTTCGCCCGTGTCTTTCTCTCTGGGGGCCTCCTGGGCGGCCCTCGCCGCCAGTGCTGGACTCGCCTCACGATTCTGGTCGCAGAGCGCATCCGGGGAGCAGCGGCGTCGGTGCCTTGTGGCCTCCCCAGGCTTGCCCCCCTGGGCGTGGCTGGGCCCGCACACGCCGCCCAGGCCCCCGGACGACTGGAGCTGCTGGCTCCCCTGGGTGGCCTCCGAGCCCGTCGCCGTGGCCGTGCGGCCGCAGGCCGCTGCGCAGGCGCGGCGCCGCGCGCCGCGGTCGGTCGGGCGGCCTCGGCCGCCGCGCTCCGCCCGCCGCTGCGCCAGCTCGAGCGGCGGCCCGAGCGCGGAGGCCCTCGCCGCGGCGCGCGCGCCGAGCGCCGGGCCTGCCGGGCCTGCGCCCGCCGCCCCAGGCCCGGGGCGGGCGGGGGCCCGCCCGAGGCTGCCCGAGGTGCCGGGGCGCGGCGCGGGCGGTGCAGAGCAGCGCGGGCACGAGGACTGCGAGTAGGGTTAAGGCGGGCGCGTCCCCCTGCAGGTGGATTTGCGACGAAGTATAAAGAATGCCTTCAAAAGACCCCCAAAAGGTCAAACAATCTTTTTAAGAATAGTCACCAGACTTTTTTTATAATAAAAAAAACATTTCGCCGAAAATCCCCCTGTAGGGGGACAGGCCCGACTTCAGAGTAGGGGTCGGCCACTCGCAAAGGGGGGAGGGGGGATGGGGGAGGGCTTCTTAGAAGCGCCCCTGCTTCTCAGAAGGCGCGGGTCTTCTCTAGAGACGTGTGGCCAGGGCCTTCTAAGAAGCAGGGGGCTTCTAAGAAGCCTTCCCCCCTCTCCCTACCCCCTTGTGCGCGCCGCCAAAGGGGATCGACTACAGAGTTGATTTACCCCAGAAGTGCTTTTCTGGTCGAAGCTACAGGTGTAGGTATAATTTTCGTAGATCTACGACCATTCTACCCAGACCCTTGACGTCATGATTTGTTCATGACGTCGACCCCAGAGGTCCCGACCCTTTCCCCAGGACCGGTTTTTCATCCTGAGTCGGTTTTTGACGGTCCCGAGGCCCTGTAAGGGCCCCCAAAGGCCGACAATAGTGAAAAACTTGCCGTCGTGATTTTTTCATGGCTCGAGGGGGTCAGGGTACGCATTTTTCGTAGATTCGAGGAACATTTTTTTCCTGGGGTGAAGCAAATGCGGTAGTCGATCCCCTGCTCGAGGATGTGGGCAGCTGCAGCAGGGCCGGGTACCCCTCAGATCCTGGCGCTTCAGTTTTTTCACGACGGGCGTGTTCGCTCCATCTATCCGAGGCGGGAATTTATACACGACCACTGCCTGGAGGGTCAGTTTTCGGAGCCTCGGCAGGCGGTGGATATGGACATATTCGGGCCCCCGGGGGCCCATTTAATATATCCATCTCCGACGCCCGCTGGGCCACCAGGACGTCGTTTCCCGGGCGGTCCCCGCCTCGCAATCTATCGTGCCCCAGGACCCTCACGCATCGATCCGGCTCGAAAAATGACGTAGGAAGAGCGGGTCCACGGAGGTTTTAGGGTTTAGGGTTCAGGGCACACTTTTTTCACACCAGGCGTGTTCGCTCAGTTTTTTGGGCCCCTGGACCCTCGCAGGTCGATTTGGCCCGGAAAATGATGCGGGAAGATGGGGTCTGGGGCTCCAGTCGCTCTTTTTCGCGATAATTATTTGTTTTGTCAATTTTCGGGCCCCAGGACCCTCACAGGTCTCGAAAGGTGACGCAGGAAGATGGGGTCTAGAATTCTGTAGTGGTAATTTTGCCTCCGACGTCGGATCCCAGGGAGGGGCGGACGCCCCGGCGGGAGGGAATTGTGCGTGTGCCCAGGCCGGAGGGCATCGTCGCAAACTGGAACATGCACTACCAGTGGCGGGTTGTTTTTCAATCCCGCGACTTTGTGAGGGTCGGGGACGACGTCGGGGTGGTGTGGTGTATACTTTTTCCCCAGTTTCCAAGGGAAACGCCGAAGAATGTATGTATACACCAGGATCCCGTGTACACAAGGATCCGCCTCCCTGTGCGAATTTCAGCGCAGGGTCGGGAAAAGCGTCGGTGTATAGAGTTCGTTTCCCTACATCGTGCGTGTGCTCAGGGGAGGGGCGGGAGCCCCGGGAGAGGGTCGGGCCGGACGGAAGGGGGGGCTATAGGGAAACGGGGGGGGTGCGAAATCTGCTGCCTGCAGCTGGTTTCGGCCCCGCCGCCGGGCCCATCCCTCGAGATACATGGGCGCCTCCTGGCGCCGGGAGGCGCCGGGAAAATCAGCTACCCCAGACATGCGACGTCCTGATTTTTCCAGGACGGCGTCCCTGGAAGTCCCAACCCTTTCCCCGGGACCCGTTTTTCGTCCTGAGTTGTTTTTTGACGGTCCCGAGGCCCGGCGAGGGCTCCCCGGGGCCGAAAATAGCCCCAAACCGCCCGTCCTGGTTTTTTTGCGACGCGATCCTGCCTGGGACGTGAGCTGCTGCTCCCCCCCACTTTGCCATCCCCCCCTTTTCTCAGGAGGGAAAGAAACACACAGACACAATTAATCGGCGATTCCATAGAAAATATGGGAAAATATGGGAAGTGGGGGGGAAGACAAAAACCCAGAAAATATGGGAAAATATGGAGGGATATTCTTATTTGTGTGTATTTATTTGTGTGTCCCAGTTCCCCTTCATTTTCGCCCGGCCCGCGAGGGCCGGCAGCCTCGGCCAGCGGGCGCCGTGCGCGTGCGCTCTGGGGGCCCCGGCGGCCCGCGCCTGCGGCGGGGCGCTCCCCGGCGGGCGCGTGCGCGGTGCCCGCGCCCGGCCCGTCCTCGGGGGCGGCACGGAGGGATCGGGCCGGGCGAAAGGGGGGGATTGGGAAAGGGGGGGTTACGAAATTTGCTGCATGCAGCTGGTTTGGGCCTCACCGAGGAGGCCACTTCCTCGATACATAGCCGCCTCCGGCGCCGGGAGGCGCCGGGAACATCAGCTACGTGAGCTGATTCTCAAACCCCCCCTTTGCTATCCCCCCCTTTCGCCCGACCCGAAGGGATGTGTCGGGCGTGTCCCCCTACAGGGTTATGTCGGGCGTGTCGCCCTGCAGGGGGATTTCCCAAAAGTGCCCGTATAAAGTACCCGCAAAAGGCCAACAAGATGCCCCCATATTCGTCGAAAATCCCCCTGTAGGGGGACAGGCCCGACTGAAGACTGGGGGGGGGGTGGATCTCATGGCGGGGGCCGTGGTATTTCCCGGATTTCATGGCGCCTCCTCTTATCTCGTTGCGTCCCTGGCCCCCCCACGCTGGGCCGCGCACGTGCCGCCGGTTATTCGGCGGCGGGCGCGGGGGGGAAATGAGAAGGGGCGGGACTTCCGAGGCTTCTGAGAAGTTTCCGGACTTCTGAGAGGGCTTCTGAGAAGTCCAGTCTGTATTCGAAATCGGCTAAGGAGACCTCTCAGAAGTCCCCCGGACTCCTGAGAAGTCCCGCGGCCTTCTGAGAAGGCCTTCTCCTTCTCATTTCCCCCCTGGGCTCGTCGCCTAGTTATGATATGCTCTCTGGCCCCCCGCCCTCTGGGCCGCGCCCGACGTCCGCCCCCCCCGTGCGCCTCCGCCGGAGGACCCGCTGGACAGCCCAGTGCTGCTGGAGCTGGCGGAGGAGCGGCGGCGGGGGCCCGGAGGGTCAGGAGGGAAAAACCACACAGGCCCAGTGAATCGTCGATCCCCCAAGTCAGCGAGTAGTGATGATCGTTCGATGCCGATGATGGTGAGTGATCGTGGGATGGTGATGGTGATGCTGATGGTGATGATGATGAGTGGGGAGTGATGGTGATGGTGATGATGATGCGGAGGAGGAAGCAAAGAGGAGCAGAGGAGAGGGAGGAGGAGGAGGAGAGATCCTGCGCGGAGGGTGTGCAGAGGAAACAAGAACCCCACTTAGGATGTGGGGAAAACACACACAGACACAATGAATCGTCGATCCCCCAGACAAGATGGGAAAATATGGGAAGTGGGGGGGGGGAAGACGAAAACCCCAGAAAGCATGGGAAAACAGGGGGAATCCGATGATTTGTGTGCATTCGTTCTTGTGTGTCCCAGGCCCCCGCTGGGCCTCGGGCCCAGGGATGCAGCGCAGGGAAGAAAGCAAGGCGGAGGCTCTTCGCAGATTTCGGCTCCCAGGGGCCCCCGCCAGGCCTCGGGACCGTCAAAGAACGACTCGGGATGGAACACCGGTCCTGGGGGATGGGTCGAGACTTCCGGGGATCGCGCATGGAAAAAAGCACGACGTTGGGTCTGTGGGGGCCCTGCGTCCCAGACCCCCTCGTGCGCGAACAGAACATCGCGGCGGGGAGCCTGTCGCCACGTTCGGCCTCCTGGCGGCCCTTGCCAGGCTTGTCGGGACCGTCCAAGAACGCCTCGAGATGAAAAACTGGTCCCAGGCAAGGTCGGAAACTGGAGCATATACATTACCAGTGGCGGGCGGATTTTTCAATCCCAGGACTTTTTTGAGGGTCGGGGACGACGTCGGGGTGGTGTGGTGCATACATTTTTCCCGTTTTCGCGGGGAAACGACGAAGAATGTATACACCAGGATCCCGTACACACCAGGATCCGCCTTCCTGTGCGAGATTCAGTGTGAGGCCAGACAAAGGCGTCGGTGTATAGAGTCGGCCCCTTACTTCTGATGGGGTCCGAGCAAAGCAGATGGGGTCGGAGGATTCCGCCGCATTGCTGTGGAGTCCGATTTCGTCCACGCCGGCGTCGCCGATGCATCGCCGACGTCGCTGGTGCATCGCCGATGCATCGTCGATGCGGCGCCCGACACCACCTATTCGGACCCCATCTAGGAGGCCTATCGGTGTATAGAGTTCGGCTCCTTAGAAGGGGTCGAGGTCGACGTTGTAACAAATTGCCTGACGAAGGACCCAACCATATGCAGGTGTGAATACCGCAATTGTGATTTCCTTTTTCGGTGGTGATCCTTATGAGGCAACGAACCGTGCTAGGGGTGTGCCGAAATGAGTGGCGTGGTACACAACGCGAGCGAAAACGATTGATCTGAGTACGTCGGGAGACTGAGCGCGGTTGAATCTGAGCGCGAATGCGTCTGATTGCGAATGAATCTGCGTGCGAGCGAGTCTACGTGCATGAATGCGAATCTGACAAGGCATGTTGTGCTTGTATCTGAATGTCAATAGTTTGAGAACGACTGCCTCTGAGTACTCGTGACGCTGGGCGTGGCCGCCGCAAGGAGGTTCCCCGGGACTCCCCGACGGCATCGCCCGCGCGCCGCGACGCCAATGTCGGCGCGCCCCCCCGCGAGGATCGCGCCCGCTTCCTCCCCTTCTCTTACTCCCTCTTTGCCCGCGCACTCAAAAGTCCAAGGCTGCGGGCGCAGTGCAGCGCGGAGTCCCCGCGACTCGCGCATGTCGCCCCGGAGGGGTCCCAGCGACGCGCGCGGGTCGTCCGCTGCGCGGAACAAAGAGAGCTAGCTGGCTGGCTGATAGCGGGCGAGGCTCTTGCCGCTGGGCAGAGCGACGACGGGCGAGCGAGGCGCGGAACTCCGACGGCCTCCGACGGAGGTGTGCTGGGTGGGGGAAACGCATGCGGACTGTGCCACGGGGACCTTCGGTGGACCTCCCTATGGGGCCCCGAAGCGCTGTGCTGGGTGGGGGGGGGCGCATGCGGACTGCGCCACGGTGACCTTCGGTGGAGCTCCCTATGGGGCCACGAAGCGCTGTACTGGGTGAGGGGGACGCATGCGGACTGCGCCACGGGGACTGGGGCTCCATATGGGGCCACGAAACGTTGTACTGGGTGGGGGGGACGCATGCGGACTGCGCCACGGGGACCTTCGGTGGCGCTCCCTATGGGGCCATGAAGTGCTGTGCTTGGTGAGGGAGACGCATGCGGACTGCGCCACGGGGACCTTCGGTGGAGCTTCCTATGGGGCCACGAAGCGCTGTACTGGGTGGGGGAGACGCATGCGGATTGCGCCACGGGGACCTTCGGTGGAGCTCCCTATGGGGCCACGAAGCGTGTGAGGATGTTGATGATGCAGACGTTGATGATGCTGATGACGGCGATGCTGACGATGGTGATGGTGATGCTGATGCTGATGACGAAGATGATGATGATGAGGCTGATGATGATGATGGGGAGGATGATGATGATGATGATGATGGTGAGGATGATTATACTGATTATGATGATGATGGTAATGATGATGATGGTGATGATGATGATGCTGGTGATGATGGTGATGATGATGCTGATAATGCTGATGATGATGTTGTTGATGATGATGATGATGATGATGATGGTGATGCTGATGATGCTGATGATGATGATGATGATGATGATGATGATGATGATGATGATGATGATGATGATGATGATGATGATGATGATGATGATGATGATGATGAGAGGAGGGGAAGAGGGAAGAGGAGGAGGAGATGCGGGGACCGTCTCTTCAAAACGATGACCCAACAACACAGGTAGGTTGGCACATATCATGGCGTCGGGGGGGGTCTGTGTCGTCCCCTCCGCGCACCCAGGGCGGAGGTCGTTTGCGGGGGTCCCCGTCCGTCGGCAGAGAGGCCCGGGCAGGGGCCCGCGCGCCTGTTCCTGCCCTCCTTGGGGGAGGGGGGGACCGTGCTGGCTCCCGAAGCATGCGGGTTTCCACCTCCTCCTCCTCCTCCTGCTCCTCCTCCTCGTCCTCCTCCTCTTCCCCCCTCCTCCTTCGTCCTTTTCCTCCTCCTCCTTCCCCTCCTCCTCCTCATTCCCTTCTCCTTCCTCCTTCCCCTCCTCCTCCTCCTCCTCCTCCTCCTCCTCCTCCTCCTCCTCCTCCCCCTCCTCCTCTCCTCCTCCTCCTCCTCCTCCTCCTTCTCCTCCTCCTCCTCCTCCTCCTCCTCCTCCTGCCCCTCCCCACCCTCCACCCCCTCCTCGTCCTCCTCCTCTCCTCCTCCTCTTTCTTATTCCTCCTTCCCCTTCCTTCTCCTCCTCCTCCTCCTCCTCCTCATCCTTGTCGTCCTCCTGCGGTCCCTCGGCCAACGAAGACGGCCGTAATTAGGGGGGGACCTGTACCTCCACCTCAAGGCACACATGTGCCACCACCTGTAAACAGAGACGTCAATTGCCACCCACACCACTCATATCCACCCAGGCGCGCGCCTTCTCTGCCCTTGCGGGCGCCGCCTGATCTCGGGCCGCTCTTCACTCTCGGGCTGGGGAGCCCGTCCGTCGCCGAGGCCAGGGAAAGCCCTTCGCTCGTGACCTGGGGGGGGCCCAGACCACCCTGAGCGCAGTCGGCGGTTCAGAGGTGGGGCCCCAAGGGATAGGCCACGAGCTGACAACTAACACTCATCTTGGGGTGGAATTCTGGATGGGTCTATGGGCGCGTGTTAAATGGGGGTCGTCGCTCGAACGGGAACCCCCAACGGGGTCCGACAACTCGCACCCACACCCGTAGCGCGTTCATCGCCTTGCCCTTCCTGATTCCTCCTCCCTACAGGTTTGAGTGTGTGTTGTTCGATGCTCAAAGGGCCCCGAGCACAGGGGCAGGGGCCCTGAGTGATGGGCCTGTTTTCCACCACCACCACCATAAGTTGGAGGGGGAGGGGGTCCTCCTCCTCCTCCTCCTCCTCCTCCGCCCTCCTCCTCCTCCTCCGCCCTCCTCCTCCCTCCTCCTTCCCCCCTCCAACTTATGGTGGTGGTGGTGGTGGTGGAAGACAGGCCCATCACTGAGCCGAGCCTCCCCGGCCTGCGGGGCAACCCGTCCCTCGGGGCCCCGTGCCTCAGGACAGCCCGTGACTGGTGGCCGCCGACGCCGCAGCCTCCGAGCGCCCGTTCAGGCCCCTGGGGGCCATCTGTGGGCGATTGGGGTCGATGCGTGTCCTCCTCCACCTTCTCTTCCTCCTCCTCCTCCTCCTCCTCCACCTCCTCCTCCTCCTCCTCCTCTTCCTCCACCTTCTCCTCCTCCTCCTCCTCCTCCTCTTCCTCCACCTCCTCCTCCTCACCTCCTCCTCCTCCTCCTCCTCCTCCTCCTCCTCCGAACGCCCGTTCGGGCCCCGAGGGGCGATCAATGGGCGATTGGGATCGATGCATCTCCTCCTCCTCCTCCTCCTCCTCCTCCTCCTCCTCCTCCTCCCGCTCTGGACGCCCGTTCAGGCCCCGAGGGGCGATCAGTGGGCGATTGGGGTCGGTGCGTTCCCCCCGTGAGCGGGTCCCCCCCCGCTCCTGAATTCAGAGTTGTTCAATGAGCGTGGGGGAGGGGGGGCGTGTGGGGGGTGAGAAGGAGGAGGAGGAGGAGGAGGAGGAGGAGGAGGAGGAGGATGAGGAGGAGGAGGAGGGTCGACGTTATGAGCGTGGGGGGGGGCCGTGTTGGGGGTGGGAAGGGGTCCTCCGGTCATGGAGACCTCGCGGCTTCCTGGGGCTGGGCGGCTGCGGAGTGCGCAATTGTCGCCACTTTCGTGGGCTCCTGGAAGGTGCCGCGAAGTGGGGGGCCACGGGTATTCAGTTGAGACCTCGCGGCTCTCGGGGGGCTGCGAAGTGCGAAATTGTCGCCACCTTCGTGGGCTCCTGGAAGGTCCCGCGAAGTGGGGGGCCACGGGGATCCAGTCGAGACCGCGCGGCTCCGTGGGGGGCTGCGAAGTGCGCAGGGAGGTCCTGCGGAGTGGGGGGACAAGGGGATCCAGTTGAGACCTCGCGGCTCCCTGGGGGGCTGCGAAGTGTGTAACTGCTGCCACTTTTGTTGGCTTCTGGGAGGTCCCGCGGAGTGGGGGACATGGGGGGCTGCGAAGTGCTCAATTGTCGCCACTTTCGTGGGCTCCTGGGAGGTCCCGCGGCGTTTGCTTGACAGCGTAGTTTTGCTTCTACTTAAACGAGTTTGTCGATACTCCCGTTGTCGCGCTCTGCAGATCTCACTCCTAAGTGCTCCTGCGCACTGCGAGGTATTTCAACGATTCCGTTTGTAGTGAGCGGTCCTGTGTCTACAGTCGCCACATGCTTCCAAAGGGTTGGGTACGTCCCTGTGTAATTTTTAAACTTCACGCGCATGTTCACGTCGCTACCGCCGTCGTCGTCCGCCGCTGGCGGCTTCCGCCGTCACCGCCGCCGTCACCGCCCTCGTCGTCCTCGTCGTCGTCGTCGTCGTCGTCGTCGTCGTCGTCGTCGCCTTGTGATCGTCGTCGTCGTCGTCGTCGTCATCGTCGTCGCCCTTCGATTCGGCTGGCCCGCGCGCCAGCCCAACTTGGCCGGACGAGGAGGCCGTTTGGTAGGAGGGAGAAGGAGGAGGGAGGAGGGAGGAGCAGGAGAAGGGGGAGAGGAAGGCTGTGCGGGACGGTGGGAGGGAGGCAGGGAAGGGAGGGAAGGGAGGGAGGGAGGGAGGAGGCAGGGAGGGAGGCAGGGAGGCAGGGAGGGGGGAGGGGGGGGGGGCCGGCCGGGCCGCCGCCACGCGGCGAGGGCGCCGCGGCGGGCCCGCCTCGTGGCCGCGAGCGGGCTCGGAGCCGCGAGCGGGCGCTGGTGCTCCGAGACCTCTGGCGCCGCGGTCTCTCTGCGGGCCGGGCGTTTTCGCTCCAGTCTCGGGCCCGTGGGGCCCTCCCGGGTCGATCTTGCGCGAAGAGTGAGGCAGACAGATGGGGTTCCATGCCCATGGGGCCCTCCCAGATCGATCCGGCTCGAGGAGTGAGGCAGAGAGATGGGGTCCGGGGCTCTGGTCGTGGTCTGGTTCCCCGAGATCCCTGGTGCTGCGATTTCCTTGGCGAGCCCGGCGTTTTTTCGCTCCCTCTCGGGCCCTGGGGCCCTCCCAGAAGGAGCTGGCTCGAAGAATGATCAGCCACGCGCAGAGGGGGATGGGGGGATCGAGGGGGGAGGGCTTCTTAGAAGCACCCCTGCATCTTAGAAGGCGTGGGCCTCATCTGTAGATCTATAGATGCAAGGCCGGCGCCTTCTAAGAGGCAGCCTCCTTCGAAGAAGCCCTCCCCGCTCCCTCCACCCCCTTGTGCGCGCCGCCAACATGAGGCAGAAAGGTGGGGTCCGGGGCTCTGGTGGTGCTCTGCTGCGATGCTGCAATTTGTTGGCAGCGTCGGATCTCCGGGTTTGGGGCTTGGGGGCGGGCGCCTCCCTGCGCCGAGGAGATCGACTCCCTGCGCTGCCCGGGCCACGGCGCCCTTGTGGCGCTGTGCGGCGAGCGCCTGCGGCGCCGCGCCGGCCAGCGCTTCGCGGGGGCGCTGCGCGCGCGCGGGGCGCGCGTGCTGCTCGCGCCGGATGCCCGCGCGCTGGCGGCGTGGGCGCCCCGGGCGGCCGCCAACGGGGGTGAAGAGCCGGCGCCCAGATATCGGGCGTCTCGAGCGAGTCGAGGCAGGGATTTTCTCAAGGTTCTTCGGCCTCCCGAGACGCGTCGCCGGCATGCGTCGGCGATGCATCGCCCATGTGCATCGGCGATGCGGCTCGATGTGGAGCAGGATTTTCCCCGCGCCGACGTCGCGGATGCATCCACCGACGTCGCCGACGCATCGCCGAAGCATCGGCGATGCGGTGCAATCCTCCTCGGACCCTATCTCTACTCGGACCCCACGGGGAGGTTCCCAGGGGAGGGAGGAGGGGGCGGGCCTCCTCGGGAGGCTCAGGGCTCCCTCCCGGCCCTGCGGGGAGCTGAGGCTCCCTGGGCCTCGTCTCCCAGGGCGCACGGGGCCTCTCGGTGTGCTGGGGGGGCCTTTGAGAGGCCCCGCCGAGCCCCGCCCCCTCAAATATACGAATAAGAAACAACAGCTTCTCTCCCCCCCCCCACACAAATTCCCCCCCCCACCCCCCCCCACCCCCTCATCCCCCCATCGGCGCACCGCCTACGTAGCCAGACATCGGGCGTCCCGAAAACATCGAGGCGGACTGAGACGGAGGTCTTCCATTTCTCTCGGCCTCTCGGGGCAGCGCACCCCCTGTGCCGTCGAGGAAATGCCGCGCCCTGCGAGCCTGCAGCGCATAGCGCCACTCCAGAGCGCCCCCTGTGGCGCCGAGAAAATGCCACGCCCTGCGAGCCTGCAGCGCATAGCGCCCCACCGTCCCTGGCGCAACCCCATGTGGCGTCGAGACACTGCCGCGCCTGCCATGCCCTGCGAACCTGCAACGCGTAGCGCCCCCACACCCAGCGCGCCCTCTGTGCCGTCGAGGAAATGCCGCGCCCTGCGAGCCTGCAACGCATATCGCCCCCACCCCCGGCGCACCCCCTGTGGCGTCCGTCGGCCCCGCTTCCCTCAGGGAGGAGGCCCTGCCCCCGCCGCTGCATCCCCTGCCCTGTGCAGGTCGGATCGCCGGCCTTCTGCAGGTTTTTGGCTCGGGCCTTCGCCAGGTGCCTCCTCTCCCTGGTGGTTCTCCTGCTCCCACCGCTTGCCTGGTCCTCCGGCCGGGCCTACGCCTGGAGTCCCGGGTTGCCTGGCGGTCCACCCCCGGCCTCGGCTCCCGCCGCCCCTCTTTGCCTGGTTTTCGGGCCGGCCCTTCTGGCGTGCTTGCTCCACTGGCTTGGCCGGTCGGCGGGCTCCGCTCCTGCTGCCTGCAGCTACTCTTGTGCTCTCTCGGCCCCTTCGCCCTGGGGTGTCCTGGACCGTCCCCCCTCGGGTTGCCCCGCGGGTCCTTCGGATCTCGGCACCTCGGCCAGCCCGTGCCTCCCCCGCTCCGCCCTGCTGGGGCTCCTTCCCCCAGTTCCGCTGGCCCCTCACCTGAGCTGGTCCACTCCGGCCGCCGCCCTCGGTTGCCTGGAGGGCTTTCGGATCTCGGCACCGCGGCCGCCTTGCTGTGCTGCCCCCACCTCCAGTTTGCGCTGGGCCTGCTTCCCCGCCCCCCCTGGGCGCGTGCCCGGCTGCCATCTGGCTGCTTACCCCCAGCTGCTGCCTCGCCGCCGCCGCTGGCTCCCCGCCCCGGCGCCTGCCCCGCCGCCGCCTGGCCCTGCTCTGAGCGGGCCTGGCTTCCTCTCCCTCCCGCCCGCGCCGGGTTTCCTGTCTCTCCCTTCCGTGCATTGCGACTTCATTCGCGTTTTGTGTGTCCCACTAGTGCCACATCGCCGGAGCAGTCCCTCTGCCCGGCCGCCGACGCTAAGTACGCGTGTTGTGTGTGTGTGTTGTGTGTGTGTGTGTGTGTGTGTGTGTGTGTGTGTGTGTGTGTGTGTGTGTGTATGTGTGTATGTGTATGTGTGTGTGTGTGTGCGAGAGAGAATGTGTGTGTGTGTGTGAATGTGTGTGTGTATGTGTGCGTGCGTGTGCGTGCGTGCGTGCATGCGTGTGTGCGTGCTAGCGCGCGCGTGTGTGTGTGTGTGTGTGTTGTATTCGTGTTTGTGTTTGTGCTTGTGTTTTAGTGTGTGTGTGTGTGTGCGTGTGTGTGTGTGTGTGTGTGTGTGTGTCTGTGTGTGTGTGTGTGTGTGTGTGTGTGTGCGTGCGAGTTGTCTGATGTGGGTATTGTGTACGCTGTGGTGTTGTGTTGTGCTGTGCTGTGCTGTGCTGTGCTGTGCTGTGTTGTGTTGTGTTGTGTTGTGTGATGTGGTATGGTGTGGTGTTTGATGGCTGCTGTGTGTGGCTTGTGTGTTGTGTGCTTGGTGTATATCTATGTGTGTGTGTGTGTGTTTGATGTGTGCTGTGTGTGGTGCGTGTGATGTGTGGGATGAGCTGGGAGGAAGGGTGAGGAAGAAGGAGTGTTAGGAAGGAGCGCCGGCGCGACGGGGGTGAAGAGAAATCTCGAGCCCCAATGCTTGCAAAGGATCATACCCTGCGCCACAGCATTGATGTAACACGTGTTCCCGAAGTTGGGCATGCCCATGGACGGCAAAAACATGTTCGGCAGGTCGTCTGTGACGCAGGTTAAAAAGTCGAATGTTCAATCATTAGCAAATAAGAAGACGTCCGCGTGAGCGAAGTTCATGGCTCTGAAGTCGTTCTAGGCAGAGAGCAATTGCGTGGTGCGCTTGGTCCTGACTGGGTCGGGTCGCGGGTCCTCCTGGTCAGCGGGGTACAAGAACTTCAGAGCATCCGGCCTGTCTACCAGGGCCACCAGTCTCGTGCCATGTGTCCCGCTTCGCACGTCGCGCAAAACATCGACGCCATCTGCTCCGCGGCGGCTCGAAACGTCCACCGCCAAGGGGCGACGTCGCTTACCTCCCCGTAGACTTCGCGCCGGCTCCGCCGAGCATGTCAGTCTGCAAGGCGAACGGGCGAAGAGTAGGAGCATCCACCTCGTAGTTCGGGTAACCGTTGGAATGCCGGGTAGCCGTTTGGCATCGTCGCCCCTTTTTGGCGGTCGGCACTGTGGGCTATGAGCTCGTTTGTCTGCGATTGGCTTGTACCATGAGACAGATATCTTATCCGCCCGGGCGCACAAACAGGTGAACGCGGCCGACTGTCGCAGGTCCTGCGACCAAGGTCCACGTGACCAGCGATGGTCCGTCTCTGCGACCTCAGGGGACAGGTGAAAGCGAGGGGTGCGAACAGATGTAACCAGCAGAACAGGTGGAGAGCGCCGCAGGGTGAAAGGATGCACGTGGCTTTCATAGGAGTGGCATGCTGTCCAGCGGGGTGTTCCAGGCCAGCGCCCGCGATGCCAGCCTCGCTCCCGCGCCGAACTTTCGCTGGCAGCGGACCATCGGCTGCCCCCTTCCCCCCAGCAAAGTGGAAACGCGTCTCTGGGAAATCGGCCAGAGAGAGACGGTTCTGCAAATACCTCATCGAGCACTGTCTCCTTGCATCGTCGGCGCCTCGTTGATGCGGGAACTCACTGTACCTGTTGAGGATCATGTGCGGCCACCAGTTCAAACATTGGCGCTGGTGAGCATTCAATGCATTGTGCGCCAAAGCGTTCCCGTGTTCGACAACGAACCCGCACAGCCCATCAGGTTCACATCGGCGCCCAGCTGTAGCATTGTGTTCTTGAGCTGCTCGCGCGGAATGGCAGCTCGGACGTGACGCATTTGGGCGCCATGATTGGCACTGTATTTTTGCACTCGCCGGCGGTCGCGTGTTTTCACATACTGGGAGGCCTGAGCCAGCATGAGCCAGCTTGGCTACAATTCCTGGTGATGATGAAGCCCCCCCCACCTGCGTAGTCCTGTGGCTGCGGCTTCGCGATGCTGATGATGATGAAGATGATAATCAGGGTGATGATGATGACCATGATGATGATGGTGGCGGTGATGATGCTGATGATGCTGATGATGCTGCTGCTGCAGATGATGATGATGATGGTGATGATGATGGTGATGATGCTGATGCTGATGCTGATGCTGCTGCTGCTGCTGATGATGATGATGATGATGATGACGATGACGATGACGATGATGATGATGATGATGATGATGATGATGATGATGATGATGATGATGATGATGATGATGATGATGATGAGATGATGATGATGATGATGATGATGATGATGATGATGATGATGATGATGATGATGATGATGATGATGATGATGATGATGATGATGATGATGATGATGATGATGATGATGATGAAGATGATGATGATGATGATGATGATGATGATGATGATGATGATGATGATGATGATGTGATAGCTCTGGTGACGGTGATCTTCATGGTGATGATGCTGATGATGATGCTGATGGTGAAAATGATGCTGATGATGATGGCTCCCCCCTGCGCCCCCCCACCCGCGGGGTCGAGAAGCCTCTGGGCCTGCAATGCCCCGGGCGAGTGGCGCGGATAGTCTCCTGCTCACCCCCCATGGTGTCGAAGAAATGCCATGCCTGCTATGCCAAGCGCGACCGGCACAAAATGACAGGACCAACCCCTGTGCACCCCGTATGGTGTGGAGGCAACTGCCATGCTTCGTATGCCTTGGACGACCAGCGTGTAGCGGAACCGCCCCTTGCGCACCCCCCACTGATGTGGAGGAAATGCCACGCCTGCTTTGCCCTGGACGAGAGGCGTGTATAGTGCCCCCCGCCTCCTGCGCACGCATTGTGCCACGCTTGCTGCGCCCTTGACGAGTGGCACGGATAGCGCCCCCACACGTGTACAATTATCCTTAAGCTAAGCTATATCCAGAGTCATGTTCATAGACCCTTTCGTACTTCTGAGACTCATTCGCGCTCGAGCTCATTCACCCTGAGATTCACTCCCAGTGTGTCACTACTGCGGCTTGTTTGTACTCGAAGGCGCCGAGATGCTCACGGGGGAACTGTCCGTGTAAATGGAGGCGCATATGGGGAACTCCACGCAGTGAAAAAATGGACGGTCCCGAGGCCCGGCGATGGCCCCTGGAGGCCA